ATACGCATGGACCTCACAAACTCAGTTTATCTCCTAAGTGTGCCGAGGTCTCACGTGCAGCCGCTGAAAGTTCTGGCATGGAAATCATTAACTCGGAAGCCGGAAACTAGAAAGCTGAATTTCTGGAGGGACGTTCCTCGCCCATCTGCGATTCATGTTTTCAAATTCAGCTTTCACGTATGCCTACGTTTCACGTGCTGGTACGTGAAATTTAGTGAAAAATTTCGTTACTTAGGAACCAGGCAACATATCGATTATTTTTGCACACACTGCAGTGTAGAACAGTGTAAATTCTTAAAATGCAAACGTCCGCTGGGCGGAACTGCGCAAAACGCATGATCGCACCGGCTACCGTGGTGCGCACTGCTGTTCATTTATTTTTTTAGTTCCAACCCCAGTACGCAATTTGGAAACATATCCGATGAATGCACGTAGTCCGGATGAGAATGCAGTTGTTTTTGTACGATGGGACAGGCCTCGTTCTTACAACGGACGTTTAATTGGCTATACGGTTGAATCATGCGCTGTAAATCCAGATGGTACCATGGAACAAAGAGGAGCTTGCCCTATCAGGTACCCACTTGAAGTTTTTCATTCATTTGTGCTGTATTGTGTAGTTTTGTCGTTTAGAGAGGCGGACGACAAGAACAAAGTAGATTTTTATTTAAGTGACTGCTGAATTTATTACTGGAAGTGTCTTTAAATGTTCCTTTCTGGAACTTAAGATTCGTGCATTATCGCCGGTTAACAGTTGATGCGAAATGTTATATTTTGTGCTAATCTGAAGTACCTTACATTTTAGAAAATTTGTCGCTAAAATCACTGAATATTACAGACAAACAAAGCCGAACGAACGCTTCTTGAAGATTACCAATTTGGAAAATGATCGCAGATACCGATTCATCGTCTATGGGAGCACAAATGCTGGTCGTGGCGATCCAAATTCGAAGGACATCGTGACTTTGCCAGAAAGCATGAAACTTTTTCGTAAGTCACTCTGATTTCAGAACTTA